TACGGCAGCGGCGCAATTTTGTAAAAGAGCTCTTAAACTACATTTGTTTGAAAGGTATTATAGCCATGATCATCTGTGCCAAAACGCATCAAACTCCATCCCGGGGGTCTTTAGTTATTTTAGTTATTAAAAGAGAATTAATTTAGTTAGTTCGACCGACCATAGAGGGCTCAGGTATTATGGGAATACTTCACAAGGTGCAAGGGTGCCCCCTTATGTTATTCTAACACGCTAAAGTAAATCCAAAAACCTCCGCATGTGTTTGCGTTTTTTTCAATCAGTCTGTTCGTTATAGTAAATTGTCATCTATGTAAAACGCAGAGACCACAAATCACAAAAAACTTGTACACGCTTCAGAGAAAACATGATTCCAGTTCATCCATACAAATTGACAAAACCGATAATCGGGTTCCTATGTCCAAAGCGTGTTAGATAAAAATCAATCAAGTGACAGCGAGCCCACAATCACAACGAAGTAAGACGAGTCGACTATTTGAAACTGCAAGTCCTTCAACCCCCGTAAACCGTTTTGTGGTGGCTCAGTAAGTGCAAGCGCAGGATGGTCGGCAGGCTTTGTCGTATATCTGGTTGTATAGTACGATATGTCATATTATTATGGCTTCTAATAATATAAAATGAAGGTACTATAAAATTAATTTATTTAGCTACTTAAATATGCCCATGTGTCATATCTTTTGACTACCAGGATATTTTTTACGGTGTCATGATAAAAAGGCTAGTTTTTCATAGATCTATCGATTCATACTAATTACATTGTTGGCGGAGCTGGGTGTTTTTTGCCCATTGTACTTTTGTTTAATTATAGAAATACTCAAACTACAGTTAAATATACTAGGCCACTCAGAAAGCTTTGCGATTTTTTTATGTTTAAGACACTGGCCACCAGGCCACTCAGAAAGCTTTGCGATTTTTTGTTATGTTTAAGACACTGGCCACTTGAAATTATTTTGAAAACTTCGATTATTTAAAAGTAAAAATACCACTGTTAGATTTTCAAATATCCCACCGCATTTTTTCAAGAGCCAATGAAATTTTTCATGTCTCACTTAAAAGATGGATCTGATCGAGAACATTTCCGTGCTATGATTTTTTACGATTTCAAATGTGGCTTAAAACCTGATGAGTCAATTTGATAGATTTCGAACTGATTTTATGGATGAAGGACCTTCAAAAGCAACCATCTACCGCTGGTGTAGCGAGTTCAAACGCGGTCGTCTTACTTTGGGGGATGAACAAAGGAGTGATCGTCCTACGACGGCTGTTACCGGAGAAAGTGTGCTGGGAGTAAAACAGACGAATTACATACGAACAGATTCAGCATACTCTGCAGATTGGTTCAGGATGTGTACACAAGATTTTGCACGAGCACCTTTGCGTAAGGAGGATAGTTGCCCGCTGGATGCCGCACAACCTCACCGAAGCTCAAAAGCAGGCCCATGTGGATTGGTGCAGTGATATGTTATAAAAATTGTATGCCGGCTCATCACGGCGCGTTTACGATATTGAGACAGGTGACGAATCCTGGATTTATCAATACGATCCAGAAACAAAGCGTCAGTCGCCAGTTTGGCTGTTTCAACGTCTACGAAAGTGAAGCGATCGAGGAGCGCATGGAAAATTTTGATCGCTAGTTTCTTCACTTTGATGGGGTACAGTGTTGCCAACTCGGATTTTGAAAAAGGCGTAGGCCCGATGAGAAAATTACGTAGAATTGGTAAATTTTGCATATGAAAACTACGTAGATCTTCGTACTTTTTTCTGAAATTGAAATGAAGAAGTTAGGTGAAACCGAATAAAACGAGTATTTTGTTATACAATTTCTTTAAAAACGGGGGATAGAACAAAGAGTTCTTGGAGAAGTCGCTGCATTGGAAGCATTTACCATGCTGTGATAGACATTTATATCAGACACAGACACTGGTAGGTGTCGATTCCGGCATGATTCTCTAAATTTAAAATCAGTCTCTCCTTTTCATTCTGTATAGAGAATAACAAGAATACACTGTTGTTAAATAAGCTTGACACTTTTTGGAATTATGTTTTAAATTGTTAATAATTGTTCTATCAGACCCAAAACAAATTTTTTTCCTTACCTAGAAGACATACATAAACGCTATTTAGTCTATAGACTTATCTTATCTATGACGTCAAAATGCAAGCAAACACTCGCAAGTACGTAGGAAATAAACTTTCTGAGTTAATATTATAAAACCATGATTTCTAATAGATCACATGAAAAATATAGTAGTTATCATGATACACTTGGTAAAAGACTCTACAAAAGTTGTGATTTAAATTGCCAAGAGAAATAAACACACTTACACATGAACACATGTTTAAAACTTGCTGAATCCTGTAACTTTATCGACTGAAAGTCATTTCTTTTTGGAAAGATCAATTCGATGTAAGTACTCATTGAATAATATTTAAAGTTAAAAAATATAATTTTTAAGGTTATGAATGTACCTACTAAGTCAAAGAGTTTTGTCGTTTCTGCTTTCACAAATCCTGCGTCCAGCATTAATTTAGTCAACAAAACCAATAACGGGAACCTTTTCTACAAGATGCAAGAGTTTTAAGATACATCTTTAAAAGAAATAAACATTTGTACAGTTTTTAAGTAAAGTATGGAAAATATTCTTCTTTATTCTAGTGAATTAAGTTATTTTACAAATTTAAAAAAATTAAAGAAAATACGTAGATTCTGGGACTAAAGTTAGTAGGTTTGCAGAAAAGGCCTAAAATACGTAGATCTACGTAAAAAGACGAAGAGTTGGCAACACTGATGGGGTACCTAATTTCACACAATTCCACTTTGAGACCAAAGCAGCATCAACGCCGAATGGTATAGCACAAAATGCCTGCCAGATGATTTTTCTGTAATGAAGAACAAGCGACCTAACACCGGGCTCCGCGGGGTCCTTCTTCACCACAACAACGCACACTCTGCGATCAAAAAGAAGGACTTCCTGGACTCCACACCAGTCAGCGTCTTGGGTCACCCCTGATTTGGCTCCGTGTGACTTCTTTTGATTCCCTAAAATTACAGATCAGCTCAAAGGGATACAGTTTTCATCGCCGGAAGAAGCGCTAGCAGCGTTTGAGACGGCCATGGAAGATGTGTTTGCGGAGGACTTGAACAAATGTTTTGAAAATTGGTTCAGACGCATGAAACTTGGTATAGAGGCTGGTGAGTGGTGGTGAGTTCTTTGAAACATTTAATAAAATATGTTTTTCATAGAAGTTAAGTAGTTTTTTAGTTTCTCAAAACTTTCTGAGTGTCCCACGTATGTCACCCAATTCTATGTTATTATCTTATATGCCGAGAACCATGTTGTCAATGATTATTCCGTTGCATAATCCCAAGTCTGTAAAGCGTATACCATCATATCATCACTTTATAGTAAATTGTGATGTTTTAATTAAGAGTAGCACAAATTATACTTTTAGAGGTACTGTTATTAAAATTTTAAGTCAGGTTTAGTTTTAGTGTCAGTAGGTGAGGTTTTAAAGAAAACACACTTGAATCAGCTAAGTCCAGTTTCTATGCCGGAAGCGGCTGTAGTTACATGTTCCAACAATGAAGAAAGCACACAGTTGTCTTTTACCAAGTGTCCTACAACCTCAATATTTCCTGCTACTCGAATACCATCACCTGAAAGTAGGTTGCCTAGTCCCTCACTTACTTCTACTTCACAAGGTCAAGTTGAACCAAATTCGAAGGACTATGTAGGAACTGTTCCACGCCCATCAACTAGTGTGCCAAATGGTGTAGCGTGAATCATTCTGTTCCGTAAATTTTGGCACGTGAGAACTGAGGATTATTTTACTAGAACTACTAACTGAATGTTTTTTTTTTATTTGCACTAACAGCAGAGCTCTCATTTTTGTAGTTAGGGCAATATACCTACTGAATATTACCATTTATCAAAATTATTGAAATTGGTCAAATTCAGCAGAATGGTAAATAACAGATGTCACCTGACCACATTCATTGAGGCACAAAGATATAAAATCAATAATAATATCCTCTCTATCTATGAGCAATCATTACTATCTAACAAAGACATTGCATTCTTTCTCAAGATCATGCAATAATCAATGCAATCAAAGCAACTAAACGATTAAGGTGTCTTATCTAGTTTAGCTAGACTTAATCTTTAAAGGATGCAGTTATTATACAAATAAATATAATAAGAGATTTTATTAAACACAAAACACAGTTTTAAATGAATACACATATTTATTTCAATAAAATTTTTGTTACGGACTCTGAGAAGCTTAAGCTGCTAATACATACATACTTACATACATAATTATTAACTTACGATTGCTAAATTTAAGCTGCCAGAAGATTCACATTTTGTAAAATATCTTAAATATTTCACCTGCCAATGTACTATCCCCCTAAAATTTACTTAGACATATCATGGTTTAGTCACAAAGCATGTTTTTCAAATTCTAAATTCCCTATAGGTATTTATCAAAAATATTCAGGCAACTGTGCTTTACAAAGCTAATCTTGGGGGGTAGGATTGGAAACTACCAAACACAATACCTTCATTGTAACGTCGTCCGTGTTCAAAAGTAGTTATTGAAGTTTATACTGCAAAGCAGCGCCACCTTTGAAGACATTGAAGACAAATACAATTCTAAACGAGATATTTAATGCAAAATCAACTTTAGAATATTTGTTTTCTTTTGGCTTTAAGTCGCGTGTCGCGTTAGACAGGAAAAACTCTGTTACTATTTTTTCTTTCGAATGTTTGAATACTAAAAGTACCTATCTCATTTTACATTGCAAACAAATCATGTATCCTATTTGGAAAAATAATAAAATTAGTTTTCTTTCTTTCTTCAACGAAGAAGAAATTCAACTCGTTTAATCCCTTGCATAGTCGCCAATTCATTTGCTCGGAAAGCGAAAGACGCTGATTATATGTCAGCCTGAGCCGAGTGGAATTTTGTTATTCCAACCATTCCATTCCAACGAACTAAGACCACGACGAGCGCAAGCGAGGATAAGCAGGCCAGATTTTTCAATGGGGAGAAATTTCAAATAAGCAATTTAAATTGTGTCTCTTTATGACATATCGAGTGTTTAAGCTAGTTATATATATTTAAACAGACTATTAATTTATTTTTTTAATTTAACTACTACCTACATTCTGATATCAAAAGATATATTTTACAATTACTGATATTTTTTACTAAAAATCTAGAGCTCCGGGCGAGAATCGAACCCACACTCCCCCTTTGATATCTGGTCCAGATTCTTTTTTAATTTTTATGTTATTTTGTATAATCGTTTAAATAAAAAAATATACCTACGTATTATAATGCAAGGTCAATCGCTTGTTCCAAGGCAACCAAAGTTAAGCTCCACGTCTGCTTGAACAACGTCTCTCTCACAATGCTATCTCAAGAAAATTTAAACAAAATAAAGTTTATCAAATACATCATTAAGAACAAAGTCCGAAATTAAAATTACATAAAGCTACACAGCCAAAACATATTGCGTATCTATTCCATAAACTACCAATCCAGCATCCGTATAATTTACCGATATTGATTCATAATCATAATACACATTGTATCAATAAAGAAATAAATTATGTACATTTATCACAGTGATTTAAGAGCTTACAGTAAGTAAGTAACTTTATAAGTTCAGAGTTTATTTTTAGGAACCTTCTGATGAATACATTCATGTATTACCGACTCTCCGCCATATCTTCTAAGATATGCACCATGTCGTTCGGTTGTTCGTACCGTATCACTGAAGAATACCCTGTGAACAAAATTACTGAGGTAAGATACTCCAGTTATGAAGATATGTAATAACAACAAGTACCTACTAGTTTTAAGGAACGCGTAAAAAAGAGACCCTTAATTTATTAAAAATACAATTATATCTTTTGGGTTGGCGAAAGCCTATCAAATTGAAGAGTCAACATTCCGTATAACACAGTCGAGTTACGAACATATTGAAACAACAATTAGAAGTTCTTATGAACACGATTGAGTTTAATACACAAAAAATATTAAAAATGCAATAAACTCTTTTACAGATGGTGGATGAGCAACATACGATCAAATAGATTAACAAGTCACATTATTCAAAATAACAATTTTAAAGTTTGATGAACATTAAACATGCTAAAGATATGAAACCATTTTAATATTAATTTGCTACATTTATTCCTTATATTATATATCTAGACACAGATATATATGTTACAACATACTACATAAGTTATAAGAATAACAGATACATATTCATGCAGTAATATATAACAAATTCACATTTATAAATACTATCGCTTTGATACTATTAAAATGCAAATGTGTAAAACATTTGATGTTGTTCAATTAATAGATCACAACAGCGGGACAATCAAAGTAACTTTTATCTAAACAATAAACTTGAAATCCACCCGCAATACGTTTTATGGTAATAAACATTAAGTATGTCATATAATGTCATATAATGAAAAAATATTTAGTGATAAGGTTTTATAGATGTTCTGATTAAACCTTAACATTTCAGAATTTAAAGCCGCAACTTTCACGGTGACATCAAGACGTTTAAGAAATTATTTGATGGTAGATATAAAAGTAAGAACTCAAAATAGACGAGCAATGAAGTTGTAACACAGGAGTAGCAGGTGCATTGTGTGGCATATTAAAGTAAATCTTTCTTTTTTCAGATTTTTAATCGCCATTGTGAACTACTAATACTGTCATTATTGTTGTCATGAATGAACAAGAAGGGACAAAGTAGAAGAGATAACTGAATGGAAAACCAAACCAAAAAAAATTGGAGGTTTCCTCCAATGGTCACATACGAAATTGGGAAAAAATTAAGAATACATGATGGTGTAGTGCGATTTAAATTTAATGGCGGCCGTGAAGTTCGCGCAAGTAGGACGCGTTGTGCGTTGTTTCACTATATAAATTTTACGCATAATTGCGCTCTTTCCTTACCTCACAACCTCCGTAAGTTATATCAAGAAATTATTTTAAAAAAAATTATAAAAATAATCAAGAAAGATAAAAGTGTAAGTTTAATCGCACTATATGTCTCAATGGTCAAGAATACAAAACTTCCTCAAATCAGATGATGGAAGCTGCTTCGTTATTTAATAAATTTTCATTTTCTTTTATTTTAGAATATTACATTATTATAGCATGCAATGTAAATATTCAATTTGAAGAATACCTGTAATGGTACCTCTAATAAGGGTACCTGTAATCTTCTGGTATTTAAGGAATCCCGCTGTTGACATTGGGTTTAGATCACAACACAAGTCCTAATCAAATGTGAATATGAAAAACTCCAAAATTATGGGTAAAGGTAACCAACCCTGGATTCAACTAAAGACAACATTATAAATCAAACACCTTTAACTATTTTGATAAATGTATATTTCTTTATACCAACTGAATCAGTTTAACTAATTCATTTGATTTTATACTAAATCTATACACATGATACACTTTAATAGTGTACTATCACCAAGCACCAATATATCTACATGTCTTAACAAGCAATTATATTCGAAAGAGTTTCGATTAAAAATTAAAGTTAAATAAATGTTTTTACAAGAAATCTGTGATTTTCGACTAATACAAGCAAAGTGATAAAATAAAACATACTTGTTCAGTCATAATACATATTCATAAGTTGATCCAAATTCTAACTGATAATATTTGTAAGATGAGACAATTTATTATTATTGTAAATTTTGATATACTTTAAAAAAAGTGTAATATCACACTTAATATCAATATAATAAAAATAATATATAGATCGGTGATTAATAGAATATTAAGTTATTACATTTAAAGACGAGATATTCATATTTATACTATTCGAGGGTAAACAATAAATTATAATAGGGGTAGAGGTAAATATCAATTAACAATAGTCTTTTTTCTTCAAAAAAGTTTTATAAATTATAATCAATATAATAGGAAAAAATCACAGCACAGTAAAAATATTCAATGGCTTCCTAAATTCAATTATATTCGATACTATATTTTAGTTGTCAGCTGTATGTGAACAACACAATTTGTAGAACAATTTCATTTGCAACTAAGTCTATACTTGTGACGATAATTACAATATTTAATTTTCAACTCAAATCGTACTAGTCGTCGTAAATTTTGAAACAATATAAAAGGAAATATTACAGCACAATAGGGTATTTTCCAAATTTTTGAAAACTGCTTATATTTGAACATTGGGACCAACCGTTTAACAGAAAAATAAAAATAAATTAATTAATGCCTTTTTTCTCCATTAAACCAATTACAAAGTTGAATTTATTATTAATGGTTTTGAATTTACTACCTATAACGCTCGGTTCGATGACGTCTACTGTGTGACGTCAAGTTTGTGTATGCTATGTAATCAACCGGAGGTCAAATTACTAACTTTTTTACGTTCGGGATAAATTTATAGTATAATACTTACACAAAATATTTTAAAAGAAAAGAAATCGTCAAATAATTATTTCGTAATCACATATCATCCTCAGACTACATAGGTGTTAAAATTCTTTACACAAAGTTGACGTCTCACAGTAGATCATCATCGAACCGAGCATTTTGGCGGTAAATTCAAAACCATTAAAATTAAATTCAACTTTAATTGGTTTAATGGAGAAAAAAAGACATGAATTAATTTATTTTTATTTTACTGTTAAATCGTTTGTTCCAATCTTTAAATATAAGCAATTTTCAAAATTTTGGAAAATACCCTATTTGCGGAGCAACTTATTTGGAACTATGCCCAAGCCTGTGTATAGGTTATGAGATATGACAGCATAAATCACAGGCTCTTGAGCTCGAATGTAAATAAATGGTTAAATATTATAATCATTAAATATTAATTAACAACAAGGGCGTCGCCAAGGGCGAAAATGAAGCCAAATATATATTAAGCAACCAAAGTCCTTAGTCCACTCATTTGACATGCTTGCCTGGCCAAATATAACTGCTTTGTGCACATCGAAACTAGAATAAATTCACTAGGTAATTCTAACCCCAACGAGTTAAGAGCATTACCATGGCACTACATATGTGGAGCTCTATGTATCTACAATTCATACTTTTAGACACTCGATACTTGGTTCTCAATCAAATCGACTATCTTATTAGCAGCCGTTTCAGAAACTGTATTAAGTGCTAAGCTTACCCTTGGGCTTATATCACAAATATTTTCTATTAAATCAGTTTATTATAAGTATTAGAACCAAATAAGCTTCAAATGCATTAAATTAACAAAAAATGATTAGATAACTGCCGAAAAAACGACACTTTACATATTATAGGTTTTTTTTTTGCATTTTATTGACGGAGCTCCGCGGCAACTTGACTTTTCAACGGTCCACGCGTGACTGTAAACCAAGAAATGCTCGAGTGGAGTTCAAGCACTTCTTGATTGGGACACATTTTGAACGCACGTGGTGTATCTAGACGAATATAACAAGTTTTCAACTTCGGTTAGATGTACTGGTTTTATTTATTTATTGACGTTTCGCAGCCTTTTCAGGTCTGCGTCGTCTGAATCATGATTTTACTTTGTCGAGCTATCTGACTTATATTGAGAGTTCGGATATTTCATTGGAAGATTTTTAAAACTTTATTGTCTATGTATGAATTTATTAGCTAATTTAATTAATAAATTACTTTATTTAACATTATTTTTTGGAATTTTGAGTTTTATTTATTTGACCCTAACTCCTTCTTATGTTAAATCATGCATGCAAACAAAAATAATTGATTGCATGATTTAACATAAGAACGAGATAGAAATCCTCTCTGAGTTTGTTTCGCCGGTTCTTCTCAAAAGTTCTCCCAATTTTGGAACCGGTGGTAGTTTACGGTAGTAGGGTCAAATAAATAAACGCAAAATTACAAAAAAGCATTTTAAATAATGATGGTTATAGTTTTTAAGGATAAAAAACGGTTAATCTCGATTTCCGGTAAAACTGCAAGTCCTATGAAAAAAAGTTAAATGGCAAAGTTGTAGGTAATAAAAAGATCTACAACTGTTGTACCGTCACATTTTTCACATAACCTCAAAATTTATATGAAAAATTCGAATAACCGAGTTCTTGGTTTTTTATTTATATTTTATTTATTTTTTATTAAAAAAATATTTTTTTACGAAATTTAGTAAAAACTTACCTTTGTATGTCTCAAACATAGAGTATTTTTTTGATTTAAAATATTAATTTTTTTACCTTATTTTGACTTAATATCGAAAAAGCACCCTAATTTTCAATCGATAATTTGAAAAAAAAAGGTTTTTTTAAATATTTATTTGCAGTTTCTGAGAAAATTTAACTTAATAGTGTATTTTTTTTTGTATATCATCAGAAAGTAGAGATTTCAACAAACAAAAAACACACCCACTTTTTTAAAAAAGCAGATATTTTGACGTGAGAATTTTCGTTTGAAAATTAGGGTGCTTTTTCGATATTAAGTCAAAATAAGGTGAAAAAATGAATATTTTAAATCAAAAAAATTACTGTATGTTTGGGACATACAAAAGTAAGTTTTCATTAAATTTCGTGAAAAAATATTGTTTCTTGCAAAAAAAAAACCCCCCAAAAACTCGGTTATTCTAATTTTTCACTTAAATTATGAGGTTATGTGAAAAAAGTGTCGATACAAAAGTTGTACATCTTTTTATTACCTACAACTTTGCTATTTAACTTTTTTTCATAGAACTTGCAGTTTTACCGAGAGATTAACCGATTTTTACCATTAAAAACTCAACCCCCTCCCCCTTCCCGACCTCATATCGCCCGTAATTTATTTTTCCTTTCAGTTTTGTTATATTCTCTACCTTTTTCAATGGGTTTCATCCTACTATATTTTTTTGGACTCAAAAATTATTGACCCTGGTCTATGAAAAAAACAAAAATTTAAATCAAATAACGTAATTTATATAAATTCTATTAATTCACGTAAATTTATATTATATATATATTTAGAGGAGCTCGATGGCGCAAGTGGCTAGCGCGTTCGGCTGCGGTCGTTGAAGTTAAGCAACTTTCGCAGTGGTCGGTCATTGGATGGGTGACCAAAAATTTATTATCTCGAGCTCCTCCGTGCTTCGGAAGGCACGTTAAGCCGTTGGTCCCGGCTGCAACTGCAGTCGTTAGCACCCACCAATCCGCACTGGGCCCGCGTGGTGGGTCATGGCCCAATCTCCCTATTCCATCCATAGGGAAGGCCTGTGCCCCAGCAGTGGGGACATTAATAGGCTGATGATGATGATGATGATGATGACGTAAATTTATAGTGTCAATAATAAAGTTTTCCTTTTTTATTCCCGTCTATGGCACAATCAATAAATTTCAGGTAGTACACACTTTCTCATGCCTGACTTCACGAGAGGTAAGTAAATCCATAAATTTAATCGAATATTGCATTTATATATTGCAGACGATTTTCGACTGTGGTGTCGTTAATAATGCAGACCTTTTTGTATATTTTCAGTTAATATATGGCTAAATTAATTATAAAAACTGGATTCCGAGCAATCACACACGATATCGCTTTCCAAACACAAACAACGATAGAAGGAAAACTATAAGTTTTCGCTCAACAAATGCAAGATGTAAAAGAAATCTAATGTGCCGCACTATTGAAGCTTGTGTAATTCGTCAAACTTCAGTGACATCCACGCCATAGAAAATATCCTTGAATATAAGCTGTTTTTGCAATCCTCGACGTAGTGCATACATACGACGATGCATTGTTTTTTTATGTTGATTCTAGTCGTTTCGGTACGTTACAAGTGGAGAATCTGATTGTGTGTACAATCAGAGTGCCAAATGTAAACATGCGAATCTGAAATTATACTACATCAACCACGAAGAAAGCTTCTCGAAAACAAGTGAAGAGCAGCAATGGGGCAGAGATAGTGCCAGGCATTTCGCCAAAGAAAAGTAATCAAAAGGGAAATAATTTGAAAAAATATATCCACCGGGAAATATAATTAGATGTGATGCTTTGCTGGTTGATGAATCGGAATTGTGCAGTGTAACTTTAATTGTTAAAATGATTAATGATATAACACTGTTTTTACTATTTTAGCTATTTTGTGTTCTTAAATAAAAGTAAACTGCGTTATGGATTTTTTAATTTTATTCTTGGAATCATTATGAAAATGTGAAAACAATCCCAAAAAACATACTCGGGTTTATTTGTTCCAAACTATAATACTACGGAGCAGGTTACGTGACGAATATTTATTTTTTACATAAAATGCACGGATACGTATATCTCGCTAGTAAAAATCCTGTGTCGTACCCATGATCCATGAACAGGAACCTATTAGCCTAGCCCCAGAGCAAGAAGAGTTCTTTGTTCAAAATTCGATTACCAACAGAATATTCATATTAAATTTGATTAGAAACAGAATGAACATATTTGATATAAATTTTAAATATAGCAATTGGTCACAGGGACAAAATTTTCCTTTGGCACAACTGGACGTGCAATGTGGTTGTTACATGGGTACTACGGGAATCGGTGATTAGTTAAAGTACCCATGAACCAACTACATGGACGTGCCACGGGAACAACATTTTCGAAACATGTATCTGTGGCACAACTGGTTGTGTAATGCGGATGGTCTATGGGTACTACGCGGTAAAAAAAGGTGACCAAGTGTCACACTTGGTCTGCCGAAGGGCACCTTTTTGGCGGTGCGGGCTGCGATCGATTCGTGGCTCTCCCACTTCCTACATCGCACCCAGTGAAAACTTATTGCAACATTATGTATAAGGTTGTGAACATGCAATATGCACACAAATGCAGTCCAACATACTTTCGCAAAAACTAAATTGTAATTACGGCACCCGCTCATAAAAAATGTCAGCGCTAAATCGGGTATAGTTGAAACTTAAGATTGTTATATTGAGAGAGCTGAAATTTGTACTGGCAAATCGATTGTTTTGTCAAACAAGTCCGACAATTGAATTTTAACAAAATAATATGAATTTTGTGTTTAAAATGGTTAAATAGAAATAATATGTTAATAATTCCACTTATATGTAACATTTAACACCATCCTTTTGTAAGTTAATATTCCAGATATATTTTACAGCAAAATACATAACATTTTGGCATTTTTGATCTGTAACATACACTCGGGCGCCTTGACTCAGTCTAGTGAAATATCCGAGCGCAACTTAATGGAGAATAAGAATAGGCATAAGAATAGAGTGGGGAAGGCGTCTCTAAAAGAGGCCGCCTAGTAGAAAGAGAAAGATGATAAGGGACCGCTAGCTATCTCTCTCTTTCTTGTGACGCGTGGCATCCAATGGCATCACATCGAAATAGTAATATACTTACGGTTGCCGCATGCGCGATTAGAGATAGAAAGCTAGCGGTCTCTCATATTCTTTCTCTTTCTATTAGAGGGACACTCCCATTTGTAGTAGAGTCTATATCTCCCCTACTCTATTCTTATACCTCTATGGGTCCAACAGCGGGAGAAAATCGACAAAGGGGAAAACTGTGAATGCCGACTGTCCTCCTGGCCGCGTCGGCCGCATTGCTGTCATTACAATGATAAACAAATAAATGGACAAATAAAATCAATTGTCTTTTATTTTGTTGGAAGTTGATTATGTGTTACTTTTTAAGCAATAAAATACATTTTTCTAGTAATATTTTCATTAGGTTTAAACAACTAGCAGTTACATGCTTAAAAAATAAAAATGTAAATAGAATACATATCATTGACAATTTAACCGCCCTCTTAGTACAACCGTTACCTATATATTTTCGATAATACCACGCACACCCTCAACATATTCATTTATTTTAACATTATCGTAAAATGTAACGAATCGATGTGCACGTTGAGGGTAGGTCACGAAAAGAAGACCGCTGAAAATCTCATTTTTTTTTGGATTAAGAAATAAACAATAATACTGATTAATTGTGAGCATACTCTTTTTGAGGTCGGTCAAAAAATGCAATGTGATTCAACAACACCTCAATGTGGTAAGAAGATAATACTAATCGGTAAAAATGCCGATAAATAGAACAAACTTATTACAATATATATAATACTTTTATGCTTATATTATTTTTGTGAGAATAATTAATACTGGCAATTTGCTACACTTTAGTTCATCGCATTGCATCAAATGCAAAATGTTCACACAATTGCGAAATTCGTTTCGGTATTTTGTAGGACGCACCGGTGGTTCCGGTGTTATAACCAACGGGAAAAAAAAGCAATAATTCATTTAAAACAAAAATATCCAAGTATGTAATAACGTTAACAATAACCCGTAACATTACGTAAAATCAATGACTTTAAAATAATTACGTATTTTAATAATAAAAAATCTAACACCATTAATATAAAATGAATAAAATAAGAAATTTTCCATAAAAATTCAGAATTACAATTATGCTACCCGTTTTTATTTTTTTTTTAAAGTTTCACTCGTGAGTATGATTAGTATCTGTTTACTAACTCTGTTTACCTTGTCTGAATCCAACATGGGCAGGGTTCCTTCTTATAAAGTATTGAGCAACAATATGAATGACGCAGAACACGAGTGATCCTATGCCAAACCACTGGAACGTGTTCCTGCCACCGTACGATTCGTACAGGCGTCCACCGATGAAGCTGCCCAGTGAAGTACCCACGCCTTCGAAAATAGCACCCACTAGACCCTGCAAAGAGTTTTCTTTTTCAGTAAGTATACATATCGACGTATAAAAACCAAAACCTCCTGTCCTATCTACGAAAACACAACACAGGAGAGCAAATAGTTTCAATATTTTTAGCTGACTAAAGAAAACTAAATGCTGCATGCCAGTTGTCATCGTTTTCAAGAAAACCTAAAGCACTACGCCCTACTTGCGTACGAAATTATTTACTGTTTTAACGCTTTAAATGACGCTAGGCCTCGATTTTCATGGAGTAGCTTTCTAGGATGAAAATATTCCGTTTTGTTTGGGTTTATTGTATACAGTCTGCCCAGAGCGTGTTCTTTTTACGACTTAGTCTATTATATTAAGCCCAAGGTGCCTTATCATTTATAAAATCTTTAACTGTATAGTAACCTTTCTTAAGGAGACTAGTTTTTATACGCACTTTAAACTTATTAAAAGGTAAATTTATTATTTCCTTTAGTATTTTATTATAGTAACATACACCTTGACCCACAAATGAACCAAGAACCTTTTGGAGTCTCAACGGTGGCACGCAATGTATAGCGCGGCGCGCTACTGTGGCGCTACGTAAATAATGTGCCTGTGTGTATGTGTAAGTGCGTCGATCAAAAAGTTACTAAATAACCTTTTGAAAATATTAATATAAAAATCTTGAAAAAAGAATTGGGAATTTGACCTTTAATATGTCCATAACCAGAAATTTCCCAGGTATGGTCCAGAAGAAAAAAATTATCTTCATGATAAGGAAAATAAGTGGCCTTCGACTTCTTCAAAGGTTTTTTTACACCCTGTATAAAAGGGTTTTTGCAAAATCATCAGCACGACACAACTCAAAGAAGGCAAGAAGTGTAGTTTTTTGTGAGTTTGTAAGTTTATCTGCGAGGTCTTGCTGAATAAAATATACTCCTTGGTCATTTTCCAGATGAACCGAGGCGTATTTTAGTAACCGATTTTTCATAGAAACTTTCATCCACTTTTTCACCCTTCAGGTGTAAAATTTCAAAAATCTAGATACATGTTACCATTTAGGGTGACCTTTACCTTGAGCTCCTCCGTACTTCGGAAGGCATGTTAACCCGTTGGTCCCGGCTGCATCTGCAGTCGTTAGCACTTACCAATCTGCAGCGGGCCCGCGTGGATCATGGCCCATTCTCCTGTGCCATTAGTCAGATCTACTGTTCCCCAAGTCTCATACAAACAATTCCAAGAAAAAATAACAGTCGACATCCTTAAATAACGGTATACCTGAACGGTAGTTTCGGTGCCGGGAGGGGAAGCGACGTTGGCGTATGACGTCATCGTCGGATAGAACATTCCGAACGTGATGCCTTGGAACAATTCGATGGGTAGAACCCACCACGCGTTGGTGAGTAACGAGTACAGAACGAATCTGACTCCGAAGGCGAACAATACGAGCGTCATCATGTTCACATGGCCGACCTTCCTGAGGATGTATCCTGTAATTATAAAACATATCTATATATATACAAGCCGCCGCCCGCGAATTCGTACGCGTGTAGTTAGTTATTTGCACATATTTTTTGACCCCAAAAGGGTTCACTGCTCGTTCCCCGTAGTTGATAGCGTAATAATATGTAGCCTTATATGTTGACCCGAGTTCTTAATAATATTCGTGCCATCCATCCATGTTCAGTAAATCCATGCATTACTCTTTGAGTTTATCCCAGGCATACATACAGACAAACAGACAAAAAGTCTTAAACTATATTTTTGGCTTCGGTATCGATAACGACTTCGTCTACGTGGAATAGGGTTCTCATAAAAACTTCAAACCCCCTTTTCACCTGTTTAAACGGTGATTTCTAAGATGTGGTATGAACACCATTTTTTTATATATTTCGCTTACCTACTCAGAGTTCTTAGCTTCGAATCCCAGTGGGGCAAATGTTTGTATGATGAATACGAGCATTTGTACCTAAATCATAGCTTTTGCTATATATATATATATATATATATATATGCAAAAACATATTTATCTATGTATAATATGTGTTTCTAACAGTTACCCTAGCATTCTATAAACACAAGCCTTAAAATGCTTAATTTGGGGCTAAGCTAATTGGTGTTAATGTTAGAAATATAATTTATTTCAAAAAATCTTAAACATCAACCATGGCCAAGGGAGCCTGCACAGTAGCAATTTTAATACAAAAACGTCTAAGTTTATAAACTATGTAGACTTGACTAAGTCTGTGGTATTGCTCAAGAAGTTTACAAAAAAGTATTTGTTATGATCGCTTATAATAACTTTAGTGGTAGTAGTTTGGTTATCAGAGTGTTTGATGACTGAACTAATGAAACTTTTTAGTGGCATCAAACACTCTGATAACCAAACTACTACCACTAAAGTTATTATAAGCGATCATAACAAATATTTTTTTGTAAAAGTATTAATTTGACAGTGTGGGTTACCTACAATGAGAAGAGTTGGCGCTGCCTTGCAGCCTAAGGCTAGAGAAAAATCAACACGGCCGTCAGGGCCGCGGTAGCATAATGGTCAGTGCATTCGCCCAGATTACAAAGGGTGCGGGTACGAGTCCCGTCTGTTGCCTGGTCCGCGTGGATTTTTTTCTATTAAACTTTTCTTTAGATTTAAACATCTAGCAGTAACATGCTTAAATAAATAAAAAAATAAATCATTTTTTTTCACCTGACACAAACAGGAACGGTATCTCTCCGCCAAAGGTTTGGATCGCGCTTACTAAACCTTGTAGGGTTTTAATGTACTCAGAACCGTCGCAAGTGGCTGCGGCGATATCTTCCAAATGCCAGAACAAGAATTGCCATATAAGTCCAGTACAAATTCCAACAACTACTGTCCATAGCATAAATACGACAGTGGGCACACACGATAGAAGAGTACCAACATCAGCCAATATACTCATAGACATTTTTGTGGTTTCGATCTGTAACAAAATGTGTAATCTTCAGAACAAGAACATAAGCTTACAGAGAGTTTTAATTCAACTCATATAATTATCTTATTTTTACATATAGACCAAAAAGGGACGAATATATGTATATGTTGCTATGAACAGCGTGCGTACGGCTATAAAAACGTCAAATTTTACACCTTTGTATTTTCGTAACGATACCGAAAGCGATCTAATGTCTAATACCGGCCATACACACTACGAGAAATCGTTACGATCAGACTGTACAGTTCGAACGGAACAGTTTATACGATTTCGTTTAGTATAGGAAACTGTGCAGTTTTATAACATACACGCTACGATTTATCGGTACCGTTCGGACTGTACAGTCTAATCGTAACGATTTCTCGTAGTGTGTATGGCCGGTATAATGCAACCTGCCAACGCGTCATTGGTTGGGTAATATAGTAATTGTTTGGAAATCATTTCGTTACTCTATTGCCTATGGGATTGTACTCTCAAACATCATATCATTTCTTAGTCTGAGGTGTAATCAAAGTAGTTACTTGATATAACAATTTAATACAAAGTCCCACCATTCAAACAAGATGTAACATCCAACAAATTGATTCCTGTGAAATTGTCAAAAAGGTATTTTTTCTTCTTTAGAGAACATTTATGTATAAAAGTGTGATTAAAAATTAATGCTTATAAAATGAACGTGCTTTGTTGTTTTATTAATATTGCATAGAAAGCGATGGTAGCAACTTGCATCCAAAATTAAAGCTAATTAATGTTTGTGAGTACAGGTGTAAGTATTATTTCTTGATTAAGAATAGAATCCGATGGAGATATCAACTTTCAGAATTATTTTTAAATCCTCCGTGCTCCGGAGAGCACATCAAGCCATTGTTCTCGGCGACATCTGCAGTCGTTAACATCGACTATCCTCATTGGGCCCTCGTGGTAAACCATGGCCCGTTTTACGTGTTCCATCCATAGAGAAGGCTTGTCGCCCAACAATGGGAACATTAATAGCTGATACTATTTTTTATGATATAAGTATAACAGAGCGTAGTAAATTTAGTTAACGATTACGAAGTAATTATAAGAGAAGGTAAGGCATGATTTTCCCCACGAATTGGGCTGGGGAAGTAACCTCCACCTTACAGAAGATCACACTACGTTTTGGTGGTGTTGTGTTTCTGCCGTGAATAAGTGTCACGCCGCCACGAGAAGCCAGATGCGGCTACTAAAGTGGCTGAAGCGCGCGAAAGCGGCCGACTAAGGTAAGGGAGAGAGGAGTGGGAAATCGCGATGCGAGTGACGTGTGGTGGCGTTTTGTATCAGCGCATTAAGTGGCCGGTGCGGGCCTCAAGAAGGGAGCAACGACGATCTGTAGCGTGTGGCGGCCACCGGCGTACCGTGTGTGGCGAGTCCATATAAAATGTATGAAAACTACAAGAAGTATGCCGGTGGCGGTGTTATGTGGTCGGTGGCCCGTGTGCGGTGACACTAAGGTGCAAGGGCTATGCGGGGTAGCGGATTAGGTTAGGGTAGACAACGATGAGGAGCTCGTTAGCGCAGGTGGTTAGCGCGTTCGGCTGCGATCGTTGAAGTAAAGCAACTTTCGCGGTGGTCGGTCATTGGATGGGTGACCAAAAATCTTCTATCTCGAGTTCCTCCGTGCTTCGGAAAGCACGTTAAGCCGTTGGTCCCGGTTGCATCTGCAGTCGTTATCACACGCCAATGCACACTGGGCCTGCGTGGTGGGTCATGGCCCAATCTCCCTATTCCATCCCTAGGGAAGGCCTGTGCCCCAGCAGTGGGGACATTATTAGGCTGATGATGAATGATGATGAGACAACGGTGCGCGTGATATTTTTAGTATCGCAAGCGCCTATAGGCTATGGTGGCCGCTTACCATCAGGCGGGCCATACGCTTGATTACCACCCTTTTAACATAAAAAGTAGCTTTGTAAAATGTTCGACCAAATAAATACTTACTTTCAAGAAACATGAAACAGCAACATCACCGAGTAGAAAAACGAACATTAGAATGAATGCAATTGTATAATCTTTGTAAGCGCCGTCGCTGAATAGGTCTATCAATGTACCCGTCAAGAGGGAGAATATTCCCCAACCTACGGAACCCCATAGCCTTTGCTTGCCATAATGAGAAGCTTTGTCACCTGCAAAATCAAGACAACAATAGGTATAATGACTACCTTTTTTCTCTTCGTCTATCAGTAGATTTATCAAAAAATATTGGACACGATTTTTTTCTTTATTCACATAACAAAATATCACAGAGATATATATTGATTTGAAGTATTGAAGTGTCGCATGAAGTTACATCTTGGTAAAACCGATTTTTAGATTCCAAACTCCTACGGGGCCTGATTTTACAAATTTACCGAAAGGACATTGCTCGTTCCCCATACATTAAATGCCCTAGAACGCCCAGCAATGAGAAAATGCTAGTTGTGTTCGGAATCATTCATAAACTCTAATTAGGCATTTGTTGAGATACGGACAACTTGAGGAACCGTGGCCTACTACAGAATGTATTCGATTTTGAGGTTATAATTATTATTGTTAATGGTAAAAGATGTACACTTTATATATTCTGAATAGATTTAGTGTTTACCTCTATGTAAAAGCACATAAATAATATGCATTAATGAACATAAAATGCAATTAATAATAAAAATAATAAATGCTTATATTCATATTGATTTATGAGTGTTGGCAGTTAGCACCTATGACACCTATACCTACCTATAGTAATAATAGATTTCTTTACAAATGAAACGTTCAAAGTCTTTCCATTTACCTGTTTTTATATTTTACTATCGGTAATTAGGTATGTACCTGGTTATCATTATGATTATCATAAAAATAAACAGATATTACATGGGATGGGAGTATAAAATATCTTTACATATTTTCAGAAATAATCTTTTTATAAATATAATATAAATACTAGTAATAAGTAGGTTACTAACTAAGGGACCTAGTTCTATTTTTATGTTAAAAAATGCCTATGGTCGCCTATATTGCATTTATTAAGGTAAACAATCTTAGCACAACTTTTTACCAAAATCACCAATTTAATAATAAAATATTAACGAAGCCAATAAACTATCAAAATAAATCGTTATTATAGACTGAAACCTATTAAATCCAGTTATCAATTGATTTTTAATGCTGTATTTTCAATAAAAAGGAGTGCCAAGATTGTTTACCAAATAGGACAAGTTGGATGAACAGACTGTAGTATCTAGTAACAGACCTTTTTTTTTTTAATTTTTCAATCAGCTTGTCCGTTTACTATGATTAATTGCTAATAAGTTAAAAAAATGATAGAAAAATAATAGTGAAGAACATTCTTTTGGGCATGCTAGGGCCGATTTCGTCGATGTCCTTTGGAATTGCACTGGCAACCTAAACTTCGAACACACGTGCGCCTCATACAGCCCATAAAAACAATACTACCCATTAAAGGTCTGAATCGGAATTTTCAGATTTTTTTAAATGAGCTGTATAAGTCGCAAGTTAGCAAAATCTACTGATCCAGTATGTTTCTAAATATTTCTTAAATCAATGCTTTCAAACAACTCAGTACTTTGTTATTTACCTAAAAGATTGAAGCATATTGCGTCCGCGAACGTCACCACGACTGCTTGACCGATCCAACTGATTATCATAAGCATGAAAAACAACCAAAACTGCTTTGTGTACTGCGTAGTTGTATCAACATAACTTTCCGTAGCAGCTTGAAACACTTCGTTTACCTAAAAACACAAATGATCATAGTGTTACGTGTCGGGATGGGGTTCGAATTTATATGCCAGTTCACGCTTGACAGTTCTTTATTCAACACACAGTTCACACAATGTTAATTACAAAACACTCACTAAACACTGTATTTCACTATACAAGTCTCTAAACAATCTCACTTGAACACTTTTGTTGCACTTTGATCGCCTTTGGATTCGCTCCGAAATCGCTGTTGAAACTCAACTGTTTCTGCGCGGCGCTAATCACGCTTATATACACCGATCGACGCATTCCAGAAAGTACCTGTTAAATTGAGAATTACCTAGCACCCGCGAGTACGAAATACCTACTTATACCTACGCAGGTAACACGCATAACTTGTAAACAAGTGCAGATGTCGTTGCACTTTCTCCCTTATGGCCCACTACATAAGGCTCATTTTAGAATGCCGCCTCACTCGACCTCCATCGCGACCAGCGGTGATCTGGCAAACTCGATCTCTAGCACTTTCACGGTTACGTTTCGAGAGCGTTTGTGACACTGCCCCCCTCTTAGACATGCTCGTCCCGAGCATCATTGCTGCCGTGGTAAGGTGCCCGGCGATCGATGTGGATTATCTTGGATTTCTTCCGATCGCCCTGTCTTATCCGATAGGTCACGTCGTTGATTTTCGTAATCACTTTATAGGGTCCTTCCCAACGGGGCTGAAGCTTCGGGGACTTTCCAATTCTTTTCTGTGGGTTGTGCAACCAAACAAGCTCTCCCTCCACGAAGCCAGGAGCGTCGGCATTCCGATCATACCTGCTTTTTATTTTCTCGCCAGATTTCAGGTTATTTTCACGCACGAGGTCGTGCGTTTCGTCCAACCTTCTTTGCAGCTCTGCGACGTACTCTACTACTGATTTGGAGGCAGCAGGAGGTATTCCGGTAAGTAGGTCCACGGGTAAGCGCATCTCTCTACCGAAGTTGATTTTCGATGGAGTGAATCCCGTGGTCTCATGCGCTGCGGACCGGTACGCCATCAGAAAGAGCGGAATGTAAAGATCCCAGTCCCGTTGATGTTCTTCTACGACCTTCGCCAAATGTTTTTCCAAAGTCTGGTTGAATCTCTCTACCATGCCATCGGATTGTGGGTGTGCCGGAGTCGTACGCGTCTTATTTATTCCGAGAAAATTGCACATCTCCTAGAATAAGTTTGACTCAAAATTCATTCCTTCATCGCTGTGTAATTCCAACGGAACGCCGAATCGGCACACTACTTCTTCAACAAGCCTCTTGGTGACGGTCTGAGCCTCCTGGTTTGGTGTAGCAAATACTTCGGGCCATTTGGTGAAATAATCTTGAACCACCACAATGTAACGGTTTCCATCTTCTGTTTGTGGAAAAGGCCCAGCGACGTCAATGGCAATTCTTTCCCAAGAAGCGCCGACCTGGTAAAGCTGCATCTTCCCCTTGGCTCTAGTACGAGGCCCTTTGACCGAGGCGCAAACATTACATTTCCTACACCAGTCCTCGACATCTTCTCGACAGCGCATCCAGTAGAAGCGTTCCCTCACTTTCACCAATGTCTTCCTTATTCCCAGGTGTCCACCAGATGTACCATCGTGCACATGCCTTAAAACCTGAGACACTTTGCACCTAGGGACCACCGTTTGAAGAGTCTGATGCTTACCATTTGGTGACTCCCATTTCCGATACAGCACGTCTTCTTGTAACAGAAGACTGTCCCATTGGGCCCAGTATGCCTTCGTGATTGGGCTTGAAGCGGATATGTCACTCCATGATGGTTTCCGTCCTTCACTTTTCGCCTTCATTATCAGCTGCAGGTCCTTGTCTTCCTTCTGCGCCCGAGATATTTCAGCTTTACTCCAGGATTCATCCAATTCTTGAGCCCTTATAACCTTCACTTCGTCTTTGTACTCGCATTTTAGTCACAGTGCTTACAATCTTCAGCACAAGGCCGCCTTGATAATGCATCAGCATTGGCGTGCGTCTTTCCGCTCCGATGTTCTATTGCAAAGTTGAATTCTTGCGGCTGTTCGATCCATCTCGCCACTTGACCCTCAGGGTTCTTGAACTGGATTAACCATTTAAGTGCTGCATGGTCTGTACGCAGAGTAAACTCTCTTCCCAGCAAGTACTTATTGAAGTGTTGTAGGGTCTTTACAACTGCTAGAAGTTCGCGTCGTGTTACACAATTATTTCTCTTTTGCTTTGAAAGAGACTTGCTGAAGTAAGCGATAACAGCTTGTTGTCCATTTTGTTCTTGTGACAGTATTCCGCCGATTCCAGTATTACTAGCATCAGTATCTACAATGAATCTTCCCTCTCTTCGTGGATAGCTTAGGATTGGTGCAGAACAAAGTAAATCCTTTAACTTCGTGAAAGAACGCCGGCAATCTGTGTCCCACACGAAGTTTCTTTTCTCTTCCGTGAGACGATGTAATGGCCTGGCTATCTCAAAGAAGTTCTTCACAAATCTGCGGTAGTACGCACATAGGCCTAGAAAAGCTCTCACTTCAGTCTTATTTCTCGGTGTTGGTCATTCCTGCACAGCTTTTACCTTTGCAGGATCAGTTTGGACACCCTTGTCAAATATTATGTGCCCCAAGACTGCTACCTCTTTCTTGAAGAACGCGCACTTTTCTGGATTGAGCTTCAGGTTTGATTCGCGGAATCTTCTGAATACTTTCTCTAGATTCCTCCAGTGTTCCGTGAAGCTGCGTCTCATAACGATCACGTCGTCCAGGTACACCAAACAAGCATCCCCCAATAGCCCCACCAGCACACGTTCCATGAGTCGTTCAAAAGTGGCTGGTGCGTTGCACAATCCGAAGGGCATGACCCGAAACTGCCACAGCCCTTTTCCAGTACCAGTAGTGAACGCAGTTTTCTCTTTATCCTCTGGGCGAAGTTCCACCTGTCAGTAGCCACTCTTCAGGTCAACTGTGGAGAAACACTTCATGCCTCCCAACATGTCCAATGTGTCGTCAATACGAGGCAATGGATAGCTGTCCTTCTTGGTCACATTATTGAGCATCCTGAAGTCCACGCAGAACCTGGTGCTGCCGTCTTTCTTCTTCACCAATACTGCTGGAAAAGACCAGGGTCTAGTTGATTGTTCGATGATCTTATCACGTGACATCTTCTCAATCATGTCCGCTACTTCCTGTTCTCTTGCCAGAGGCACTTGTCTAGGTCTTTGTTTGATAGGCTGTGTATCACCGGTCTGGATTGAATGCTTGACAAGGCCAGTCCTCCCAAGGTCATTTTCTCCGTTTGAAAAGATGTCCTTGTAGTCTAATATTAGTATATTATGTATATAGTTTTTATTTCAACATGTCATAAATCTTAATTACTGCATTTGGTTTTTGTTTACAAAAAATAAAACCACTTAATTTCCCAGTAAGTCGACGACTAAGGGATAAACTGTGTTTGGAGAATATTGGGCAAAGACCTGGAAACCAATCTTAACCCCTTTTAAATATATTAAAGTAATTTGACGATTAAGTGATCACACAGCTCCGCCCACTCCCTCAGGGAATACGGACGTTAATTTTCCTTCTAAAATGCTATTTTTTTACTGTCATTGTTTTAGGTGAGTAAACTAATAAGGAGGTAAGCGAGATAAATTATTACGCATAATTATTGTTTGATAATTCGCCAAAACGCGAATAATTATTTGACTACGGCGCTGACGTCAAAATAGAAACGGAACGCCAACTTTCATTGCGTATTGAACCAAGCCAAACTGCGTTCGATGAGTTGAGATGCAAATGATGGTCGTTTGACCATTCTCCTACCGACGCATGCACAGTGGTAGTCTGCGTCATATGTATTAAAATAAGCAAAATGCAATGACATAAATATTCGTCATTACGGTCGGCTAAATCTATTAATTGCTACATGGCTTATTATTCTAAGATGCGATCGGTAGAACTCTGAAGGCATTATTTATATCATTAAATTTGGCCAATATGGAATATGTCATTTTGGTAGCAATTGCTTCTAAGACAAGAGCCTGATTCGTTACCAATTAATAAAAGTAGTGCATGCTCAATACAGTTTAAACCAGGAGACATGACATGTATACGACCAAGAAAGGCTACAGGAAGATATCAAAATGTGCTTTGACATTCTATTGAGTACGTATTAAAGTGTAAGAATAATTAAAATACAAGTGTAATACAATTATTAAAATATAAATACGCAACGGAAGAAAATTATTCTCGTTCGAGATCTGATTCGCTGAATTCGTTAAACAATCTTTCTAGCTCCAACTTGGAATCTATGCTAGAGCCCCTTAGAAAAGCTTTCCTGAAAGGAAAATTATGCGATGTGACAGCAAAAAAAAGAAGACTAGAAAATAAGAATTTAAAAAAAACAAAAAGGATTGTACCATATCTTTAAGGGCCTAAAATGTGCGCTCGTAAGATTAAAATAGGAAATAAATGTCTCGGAAGATGAATTCACAGAGCTTTTTGTTTTAATGCAGAAGCTATAGACTTATTTTAGCAAATAAAACGGTTTATTAAGCCGAACAAAAACTGTAGAACAAAGTTTCCACCTAGTTCAAGAAAATCTGCCTTTACTTTTTACGCTAATTTTGGATTCCCGTTCTGGGTCTATAGGTATGAGCGAAATGTATTTGAAAATACTCTTCCTCATCCTAGAACATTATTAGGTAAATGGTACAAAAAAAACGGATGCTGCACCGTGATTGAATACTAAAGCCTTCAATATTCTTAATTAAAATTTTCAATCAACAAAAGACAGATAGCTCATCTACTACAGTGTGCATAATAGAGACTATTATGCACACTTGTAGTAGATGAGCAGGCTATAAGTAATATCGTAACTTCGGGCTATTTACGATAGGCCTCAAAGATAACGGGGGCGTTTTTTAAATTCTGCCAAATTTAAAATACGCCACCGTTCTCTGAATCTGAACTACGAAATAGAATAATTTGCCTCCATCACCAACTGTCCTGGCTGGCGTGGTGATTATGGCTTA